ACTGACGTATATGGTTATCTTTTGAATGGGATCATGGGTATTAATTTGTTTCTATTTCTAATATAAATGATGGGATACTCGAGTTTCTAAGCAAGAAGTGAAACATAAGCATTTCGAAATTCATTGTTTGTAATAAAGAGCTCTTAAACAATTTTCTGTTTTGGGGATGTGAATTCTTTTATTAAACGGTTCTAAATTTGATGACTTATCAACATTTTTGTGATTTTAAGATCAGTTCCTATAGAAAATTTTTAACTAGGAGATCTGAGAAATTTTTGACGATTTTTTTTAAAGCATCGTAACATTGATAATAATGGTAATATATTGAAATTGAATAATGGTAATATATTGATCGTAAATAATGGTAATATATTGAAATTGTATTTAAAAAATAACATTAAAATAAAACATTTTTATTTTTTCGCTGTCATATCATAAAGTTTCATTTTGGCAAATTATTATACAATATTTTGAATCTGAAAAATAAACAAGATATAATGCTATAAAGCACAATTTACAAAAGAGCTCTTAGCAAATGCAAAATTAGCTATGTAATTATTTAAAAATGTCTTTTTTTAAATTTTTTCATAGTAAGACTTTTTCTCATTTGATTGTTTCACAATATTCAAAATTCTCAGAATATGCATCAGTTTTCTCTATAAAATTCATTTTACGCTTTTTCCCTCCTTTTTTGCTCCAAAATTTTTTCTGGCTTTTTGCTGTTACAGAATTGGTAGGGATAATTTTTCTTTAGTATTTTAGACACTGCAGCTTGGAAAGTTTAGAAAGATTTGAAGGCAGGATTTATAGACCAACAATTCTAGAAGATTCCAGAAATATGTGAAAGAAATGAAAAATGTCTCTGTATTAACATGTAATTGATGTATTTTACAGAATGTTTGCGATGAATTTCTTACTTTTTGGAGAAAGTCTGGAAGAACAATGAAAACATAATATTTGAATGTTTTACTTCTGATACTAGAATCTTTTTCTTAACATGTTTATCTTCCTTTTATTTCCTCTACTTTTCACTAGACGCAAGCATGGAAAATATTAAAATTGCTTCTAATCTTATCACATGGACAGGCATTATAGAAAGGAATTTTTTGATTAATAAATAAATTGAAAACTGGCCACTTAGAAGATTCATCTAATATGTTTTAATGCATCATACACAGGTCTGATGCTAGACATTTTCCTACTTGGTGCAATCATGTGGAATATTAAACTTATCTCTGTAAATCCTAAATTCTGCTTCCAATGCCTGCTTGAAATCCTAAAAGTTATGACATTTCTAGATTTTGTTGCTCGGTGTGTCACTAAATTCTAAAAAGCATAATATGCATAAGCATTTCAAAATTCATTTTTTCTAATTAAGAGCTCTTAAACAATTTTCGCACTTTTGGGGATGTGAATTTTTTTATTAAACAGTTCTAAATTTGACCACTTATCAACATTTTGGCGATTTTAAGATCATTTTCTATAGAAAATTTTTAATTCCGAAATCTGAGAATTTTCCGATGATTTTTTTAAAATATCATAACTTTGATAGATTTTATGTGTAATATATTGGAATTATATTTAAAAAATAACATTAATGTAAAACATTTTTATTTTTCGCTGTCATATTATAAAGTTTCATTTGGCAACTTACTATACAATATTTTCTATCTGAAAAATAAACTGTATCTGAAAAAAAATAGGTACAATGCTATAAAGCATAATTTACGAAACATCTCTTAGCAAAAACAAAATTAACTATGTAATTAATTAAAAACATCTTGTTTTTAATTTTTTCATAGTAAGCATATTTCCCATGTAATTGTCTCAGAATATTCAAAATTCTCAGAATATGCATCAGTTTTCTCTATAAAATTAATTTTGTACTTTTCCCTCCCTTTTTTTTTTTTTTTTTTTTCCCCCCAAAATATTTTTGAATTTTTGCTGTCACAGAATTGGTTGGGATAATTTTTCTGTAGTATTTTTGACATTGCAGCTTGGAAAATTTAGAAAGATTTGAAAGCAAGATTTATAGACACACGATTCTAGAAGATTCGATAAATATGTGACAAAATGAAAAATCTCTCCATGGAATCAACGTGTAATGGATGTATTTTACAGAAAGTTTCCAATAAATTTCTTACTTTTTGGAGAACATCTGGAAGAACAATGAAGACATAATATTTGGATGTTTTACTCCTGATACTAGAATCTTTTTCTTAACATGTTTATCTTCCCTTTATTTTCTCTACTTTTCACTAGACACAAGCATGGAAAATATCAAAAATGCTTCTAATCTTATCACTTGGGCAGGCATTATAGAAAGGTTTTTTTTTATTAATAAAGAAATTGAAAACTTACAATTTAAAAGATCCATCTAATATGTCTTAATGCATAATACACAGAGCTGGCACTAAGCATTTTCCCATTTGATGCAATCTCTGTGGATCCTAAATTCGTCTGCATAGTGTCTCTAAATTCTGCTTCCAATGCCTGTCTAAATTCTAAAAGTTTTGCCATTTCTAGATTTTGTTGTTCGGTGTGTCACTAAATTCTAAAAATTCTGCCACATCAGCTCTATAACTGGCCTTTACCATATATACTTAATATTTCTTCTAAATGCTCATATTGCTAAAGAAATAAAATTAGCCACTTTTTCTATAAATTGAAAACCTTTAGTACCACTACTACAAAGTACTGCTACCGCTTACTGTTTTGAAATAAATAGCTCAAAATACTTTGCTTGTTTGTGTACCAGCTATTTTTTTCTTGCATACCACCGGTTAAACCTCTCCTCTAGACTGACCAAGTATGTGACAAAATGAGGCATAAAAAAAATCAACATAAAGTTAACTATTATTAAAACGTAAATGTCACATATCTTCTTTCAAATATGTCAAACCCATTATAAATGTAAAATATTTAATGCTACTTGGTAAACTGCATGGAGTTTTATTTTATTCTCAAACTTATTAATAATTATGTTCATTAATTCATGTTTAGTAATAATGCATACTACTTAGGGATCTATTTTATTTTTAGGATGATATTACAAAAGTGAAATTCAGGCATAGAATAATATTTTTAATTAAATTTATTCAGTTTCCATTTGCTCATAGGTCCTTAATTTTTTTCATTAATGGTCCTTGAAAGTACTTCATTTCCGTGTGCAGAAATGTGTACGAACCCTGTTGCTGTATACATCGCGGAGAGGGAAGTTCTGTCGCCAAATCCCTTGGCAAATTTCTTCTTCACTTTCTAGCGACATAAAAGCATTATGTCTATGGAACCTTTTCTTCTTTACATAGATGTTCTTTGGTTAGAGTAACCTCCATGTACTGTACACACGGGATTTGGTGACATTGTGATGAGCAGTAAATGGGTAATTTTGGTCTTGGCGACATTTTCAAAATCGTGCCAAGGCCTTACCGTATACTATGATTTTACCACCAAATCTTTTAAAACTTTTTTTTAATAAATGCCTTAATTGTCATTTTGCAGTAAAATAAAAAAAAAAAATAGTAATATGTCAATTGGGCTAACCATGTAACTATATTCGCTAAAATGCCGTTGATTATTCTAATTCAATTTTTAAGTAATTATCTTTATTTTATTATTATTTGTTATTTGTATCGTTTAATGTTGCTTCTTACCTCTTAATTTATTTATTATTAGTAAAAAATATTTCCAAATTTCAGGAAATTTTCTCTGGCATAATCCTGAAATTAATTCTAGCAGTATGATGCATACCATCACGAAATTTAATGCACATATTTTTTGCTTATGTATGCTGCGAAATAAATATAAAATACTTCAATTTAGTAAAAAAATTAAATAGATTTCTTTCTTTCATTAAATAGATTTCTTTCTTTCATTTAGCTGCAGAATGTCTGCAAAAAAAGCCTTATTTTATTCCAGATTGGGCAGATTCTAATCTCAATCTTCAGTGGAGAAAACAACTCCTATTATAATTATAATAGTATATTCTTTTATTAGGGGATATAAGTCGTATGTAATTGGCAAATTTTTGTGTTTTCAAGTAATACCATAATTAATTTACGTCTTAGCACAGCCAACGTGCATTACGTGGATAGACTAGAATTTTCTTGAAACACAACTGGAAAAGTAAGGGAATTTTATTCTCCTGTTTGAGTGGCAACCCTGGGTAATAAAGTTTAAAAAAAAAGCTAAATGAAGATAGCCAAGTTTTATATATTTTTATCTCTAACTTACAGTTAGTCATACTTTTACTTAGGGTAGGACGACATAGGAAAATTTCAATTGAAAAGAGCACTGTGACTCAGAAAACGTTTGGAACCACTGACTTATGCAATATACTAACACATAATATTTACAGAATAAAAATAAACTACATTGCTTTCTCTGAATGCCTCTTCTACCAGCTTGTAAATTAACAGCATATTACTGTCATAAAAGTCTATGCATTTAGACATTAATTACACTAAGCAGTAGATCTGAAGCACCTATTGGTGTAAATTCACCAAATATGCAGTCTATTTTATTGCTTATTCTGTAGACAAATGTTCATCACTAAGTAACTGAGTTTAAAAAGATAGGCAGAGAAATCAACAGATTTTTTAGGTATAAGGGGTATTTGGATGCAAGTGTTTTTATAGTCCTCTAAATAAAAGATGATATTTTGCAATTTTTAATTCCGCTTTCTTTATTGTGTACTATTAAGAGTAGGTTTTTTTTATATGAATTAATATAATCATTTGCATTTCCTTTTTTAAGCATAATGGAAGTCTTTAACTACGTGAATTGTTGAATGTATTTTATTCCTGTTATTGCCGCTATTTTTTTTTTAATTTATTAAATACTACTAGTCTCATTATTTTTAAGATTCTCTAAATTTGTTATGATTCTAATTTTGCTTTCAGTTGAATTGCTTTGCTTTGCAACCATTAATTTTTTAATACAAAAATGTTATTTTTATTATATGTTAATTTTGCTTAAAAAACTGCACTGTAATATTCCAGATGAATGCAGCAGCAAGAGCAGTCATGAAGTTGTCTTCAAAGTAAGTGAAAAAAAATTATTCTTGTATACTGTTTAATGCCTAACAAAGCTGGAAAATTGAATGAATCACAAGGCCAACAAAATAATAGTTATTATAACTATTTTTTCTTTATTCCTATTATGAATGAAATGTTATATGTGGGAGTATGCGTAAATTAAAATCACTGTAGTCTAGTTTCCTCTCACTATTTCAGCACAGCTCAATATTACACTCACTTCCGAAAGTTAAGCATGAAGATGTAAAATGCAAAAAAATCAACAAATACTGCTTTGGTTGACATAAAATTTGACAGGAAAGTAGCATATACATTTATGCATAAAACAAAATCAATAATTATATGCAGAAATGAAAATAATATTAAATTTTTGTAAGTTATCAGATAATGACATACTGAAGACTTAAACAGAATTATATATAAAGTGAAAATAAAGAGCATAAAATGAAAAAAAAAAAGGACAACATTAATAGGGTATGTGATCTCCCCTCATCTGTATACAAAATTTACACCTTGTGACCATGCTTTCAATTAGGTGGTCAACCACCGCAGAATTAAGCAATTACTATTCTTTGTGTAGAGCAGTTTCCAGCTCAATAAGAATGGCAGGAAGTGGGAAACGTGAAGATACAGCACGGCCGAGAGCATCCCAAAGATTTTCAATGGGATTAAGGTCGGGCGAATATGCTGGCCACGCCATACGCACACAATCCCTTCACTCTCCAGGTAGTCATCGATGATGTCACCTCTATGGGGAGACATGCATTATCGTCCATTAAAACAAAAGTAGGGCCAACTGCTGCTTACAATCTAACAATGGGTTCTAGGACTTCATCTCGATACTGGACAGCTGTCAAAGAACCCCATTTAAAGATGTGCGGGTCGGTGCAGTATCCTAATGAAATCCCTGCCCACACCATAATGCTTCCGCCTCGGAATGCGTGATGTTTTGGGACTAATTGCGTGTTCGTTGTTCACACCATATCCTTATACGCTTGTTATCTGGCTCCAGAGCAAATCTTGACTGATCAGTAAATATGACATTGCCCCAGTCAGACACATTCCAATTGACATGTTCCTGGCACCACTGTAATCATGCCCCTCTTGATTGGACAGATAGAGGAACATAAACTCGAGGTACCCGGGTGTACAGTCCACTGATATGTAATCTTCGGCGTACAGTAGCTGTAGATATCACCTTACCAATGGACGCTGTAACCATAGATGTTGCTCTGCGATTCCACTTGGCTACAATAGCAATATATCGATCTTCCGCGGGGGTTGTAACCCTTGGGCGACCGGCCACGGACCTTCGGACAACTGTCTGTGTGGTTTGGAATTGTTTCCATAAATGTGAAATTACAGAATGATGAATGGCGAAGAAAAGAGCAACATCTGTGATCGACTGTCCTGCTTCAATGCGTCCCACAGCACGCCAGTGCTCAGAATCTTCCATTCGTCTTCTGGAAGTCATAGAAACACGTATGTCTTGAAAAGAAATTGTTCGAAAGTTTTAAACACCTTCTATCAGCACGTACAATCAACTTCTGTAACCCTTCGTAAAGCTGGTTTCTTATAAGACTGCCTTTTTTGCATACTTCTTGACATGAAAGCGCGATTGGCTGCGAGCTTATTTGCATACTTCCATCTACCTTTGCAGCGAAGTGCATCCTCTTCAATTCTGATTGGCTTCCGGAAATTAGTATTTTCCTCTCCGTGCTTAACTTTTGGAAGTGAATGTATTTTATCCATGCTCTTTATGAACAAATTCAAGTAATTTTTTTTTATTACTTTTTCAGATGCAGTTTTATTTTCTTAAAACAAAATTCCATCTAACTTTAAGGCTATTTTTATGCAACTCTGTTGATCAAACACACAGGCATATAATATATATATATGTAAATTATAATGAGCAGACCAAATTATGATAAGGAATCAAGTAAGAAAATTTTTGCTTTAGGAGGTACTTCAAAAAATAAATCTCTAAATTCATTTCTAAGTAGTAGTAAATATTTTTTCTCTTGATCATTGTATTGAAAAGAAATTCATATGCGACTTTACTTCTCCAGTCGAACAGATTATGTTAAGATAATTCTGCAATCGGGAGGAAGCTAAACTAATAAAGATTGGCTTTATTTAATGATATAATGTATATGATTTTTTTTAACAGTCAAGATGGCAATATTAAAGAATGACCATCACCACACTTCAAATCATGTCATTTGACTAAACAGAAGTTAGCGTCATTTTATTCATTCATTTTCTGAGGTCTTCAGGTTTGCTCCACCAGGTTCACTTTTAATCAATAACTAAGCTACTTAAAAGTAGCTGCTATTGACACAGGCTTTTTACCTCATATTAGTGACCAACCAGTTGAAAAATTATCCTTTTAACACATCAAAAAGCTCTTCTGTGGTGTAAGGAGGTTATAAGGAATTCAACTTTCAGATGTTTTTTTTTTACCTCTTCTATCAATAAAATTTGAAGTTATATGCTTAAAGATCACATTACTGTGGTATACAGAATTCCTTGCTAATAAAGTTTAATTTACATTAATCAAGCTAAGATAACTTTAAAATGCTGTTTTAAAGAATGTGAAGCTTTAGAAAAAGAGAGACACATATATCCTCTGTTGCCCATCACTTTAATTTAAAAAAAAAAAAAAAAAACACATTTTCTATTTTTCTCCAGCCAAAATTATTCAAAAAGCATTTTCCGTTTGGTGAATTGGATATTGTTGCCTTAGCAACTTCAATAATCATTATTCTTCATTTTAATTTAACTCGTGTCAATCCAGTAATTTTCCCTCGTTGATTTTTAGTTGCTTTTTTATTCAGACTTTGGAATTTTTTTTTAGATATTTTGTTTGGTTTGTTTAATTACGGCAAATCAAACAAGAGCCATTTGCCTGGGAGGATGCTTTAATGAAGGACTTTCTAAGTGAAACTGACTTGTACATATGTTACACATCAGGAAAACTATGAAAATGCCCATTAAAGAAGCCTGTTCGCCTGGAATCGAACCCATTGAACTACAGGTCTTCACCGATTTTGCTGCTCATTATCTGATGGGCCCTTTTTTTTTTTTTTTTTTTTTTTTTTCCCCGGGGAAAGAATCAAAGTGTGAGGTTGGGAGATAGTGTAAAACTCTTAGATAAGTGTCTGCCTGCCATCATATCTAAATTCCTATGTAATTGAATTAATGTATTAATGTGCATCATTTGCCTGAGAAGCACGAATGTTTTCAGCAATGTTAATTGAAATAAGATAGTCAATCTTTTGATGAAGCCGCAGTTAGCATAAGGGTTGCCGTGTAAATTTCATGCCAGTGTTTGTATTTGATACTAATTGGCAGTCCATTAACCCCCTCCCAAAAAAAAAAAAACACTTTGCTTTCTTTCTGAGAAAAGGTGAAAATTTTTTATGATGCACTATATAAGGTAAAGGTATTAGAAATAGAACATTTTGGGGGAGGAGGGTAAATTTTCTATCATCTACGTAAAATTCTCTTTTATGAAGAAGGTAGAAGAATGCTAGCTACATACTGATATTACAATGTTTCATTGATTTCAGAATATTATATCATTCTTAAAGGAATTTATATATGTATGTAATGATTTTAAAAATGCGTAGATGAAAACAGGGGAACTTTTAACAGCTTATGATACTGCGTAGATTACCGAGAAGACCGTAGTGTGGCAGACTGGAAAGCATGATGACGCGATTTAGCACAATGTCTCTTGAAAAGTCACAATCTTTATTTTTTTTTATGCATATCAAATCAACCTTTTTCAAGCAAGATGTTTCCTAACTATATTTGAATACAGTAAGTTGCATTTTGGAGTACAACATCGTTTTAAGCAGGTAAGCAGCAGCATACATAAAAAGCATCTTGCCGGTAGGAGAGCTTATGCAGAAAAGGAGAAGAGTTATAGTAATTTCAGAGGAAGAAGGCTGGGAGTGGGAAAGTTTCAGTTCAGAGTTTTGGTTTATAATTAATTTGATCGGACAAGAGCATTAAAACGTTACGTAAGATAGAAAAATCTGGAACCTGTGAAAAGAGATGAATTTAGGGGCAAATCACCAAATTTAGAATGTTAATTTTGAGGTCGCCAACTTTTTTTTTTTTTTTTTTTTTTTTTTTTTTTTTTTTTTTAAGCAGCTATTGTATTTTGTTATATTTAACATATATATATTTCTGTTTATAAATACCTCTTCTTCAGTTGCAGTTTGAAACTACACAGCATGCGAATTTCTCCAGGCTTTCAACATATGAGACTTAAAGCCTCAAATGTTCAAAATTAAGCTTGATATTTTTCAAATTGTATTTGCTACTAACATGATTTTTTTTTGGGGGGGGGCAACTATGATTCTTAGAAATAGTACTAGTATAAGAGGAACAAATTATCACTCAGTAGAGTAAAAGCAAATCTTCAGTAACAAGAAGAAATTCATAGAATTTTCCTGACAAATTAATAACAAACTTGTACTACATGAAATTTTTTGTTAGCTATCTGTTAGAAAATAGCAAAACAACAAAAAACAACAACAACAACAACAAAAAAAAAAAAAAAAAAAAAGCAGTATTTTTGCAATTAATAATTTTTTTCTGTACTTAGTTATCTGCCTTGTGTCTATTTAAACTGTTATATATTAAAGTGAATTTTTAAAAATAGGCATAATTTTTTAGCTGTTTCTAAATTTTGTCAATAAAATATATTCTTAGTAAATTTTATGTTTGATAATATATTATCTGTGTGCAGAATGCTATAATTATGAATTTTTATTTTAAAATATATTAACATAAATTTGAGTAGCTTTAACATTTTTTTTGTTAATTTTCTATATAGTGAAAACATTTTGTGAGTTCTGTCAGTTTTATTGAAAGGAAATTTATTTGTATATATATATATATTGTCTTGTTATTATGTGATTTTATTTTCCGATATTTTTAATCACTGAATTAAGTTTTTGAAATATTAATTTTAGCAGTATTCAGTCCTCATCATCCAGGATTCTTCCTCCTCTGGCACCCTCCACAGATTCTCATTTTGTAACGGCTCAGACTCTTTCAACAACTAGTGAGTAATTTTTAGAAAGTTACTATTTAAATCTTTTAGTTTTATTCAAAATATTTTCTGCATACTTAGTCTTATCTATAAACTGGCAGAATGTCTTCTGTAAAAAAAATCTCATGTTTATAAAATAGATTAATGTAAAATTATTCAGTTACATAATTCGTATGAGTAGCATGAAATGGTTGAATTTGCAAATGGTATTGAAACATACGAACATTGCTATTTATATTTCTGGCTTTGACAACAGTAAGTACTGCTAGCGACTACAGACAATTTCAAATAAAAGTTTGATATTTTTAACCATAACTTCTCAGAACATTTTGCCATTTTAGCTTGATTTGTTTTGTTTACAGTAAATTGAAAAATTCATCTCTGGCAAAAAATGGAATTGACTCGTGAAAATTTTGATGCGATTATTTATCATAACTTTTGACGTGAATTATCAAGAGAGTGCTTTGATGAACTTAATTCTTTACACAGTGATAAAGCACCATCCTACAGCACTGTAAAAAAAATTGGTATAATGAATTCAGTCATGGTTGGCATTCACTCCAGGACAAATTCTGTGAAGGTCATCCGAAATTGGTTGTTATGACAGAAAATATCGATGCTGTACGTGAACTGATAAAACAACATTGTTATGTGACATACCGTGAGATTGAGGCATCTCTGGACATTAGTATGACAAGCATCAATAACATATTACATGAATATTTCGCCATAAAAAAAGATTTGCTCCTGTTAAATGCCGCATAGTATGACAAATGCTCAAAATAAGGGTCATGTCGATTGGTTCAAGGAAATGTTGGAAAAGTAAGTTCATTGTCCATCAAAGGCTGTGTGCATATGAGCCTGAAGCAAAACAGCAGTCGACTGTATGGGTCTTCCAAGGCGAGCCAAGTCCAACAAAAGTTGTTTGGAAGAAGCACATTGAAGCAAATGGTTGCTTGTTTCTTCAGCATTACTGGTCAAATGTTGACAGTGGCATTTAGAGGTCAACTCCAAATGGTACACGACCATTTATTTGCCAGAAGTCATTGAAGAAATTCGGAAAAAGCAAAAGAAAAGACAAATCATTCTTCATCATGACAATGCGAGCTGTCACACATCGGCTCAAAGGAATTTTTGATGGGCCAAAACATCGAATTGATGGATCATCCGGTGTACAGTCCTGATTTGGCATCCATTGACTTTTATTTATTCCCGCAAGTCAAAAATAGATTACATGGTCAGTGATTTGTGACACCCGAAGAAACGTTTGCACATTCAAAATGCATGTTTTGGAATTACCTTAATCAGAGTGAAAAAAAGTGCTTCGAAAGTTCGTTCAAACACAAAAGAGCAAAAGCGTATTGATCTTCACGGAGAATATTTTGAAAAACAATAAACCAATTTCTAATGTAAACATTTGTTTTTTCATTATTGGGCCAAAAATATAAATAGCAACCCTCGTAACTTGGTTTTTTCTCAATAACTTGAAACTTTGATTTCCATTTTTATTAAATTAGTTTACAGAAATCTATCTGTCTATATGGGAAAAAGTAAACAAATTTAATTAAAGTATTCACAAGCTGCCATTGATTTTTCAATTAATTTTTAATCTAATTTGATTAAATTGAAAACGTTAAGAAAAGAAATAAATATATGTTATATAAACTATCATGTTTACAAGTCTGCTATTCATTTTGAATTAGGAAAAATAGTCTTAAATATTTTAAATGTAAGAAATGAATTTATATTCTGCTGAAAAGGAATTTATAGTAATACGAGATGCTGAAATGATCCAGTAGAAATTAATAAATGAAATGCACTGATAAAAGGAAAGATGTGTGGATTCTGAAAAATGTTTTATCTACAATATTATTAAATTCAAAAATTTTTCATTTTGTTTCAGATTACAAAAAAGTTTAAAAATTTTAGAGACACTCTAAAGCAGCATTTTCCAACCTTTTAACTTTTATGGAACTCTTGTGGCAATGTTCAAGTTCTAAGGAACCCGAGCATCCATGAAAAAATATTTTTTCATAATATTTTTATTAATGATCATTAATGGAAACTAAAAAATGACTATCATAAAAAAAATTGTTTTTGTAAAAATTGTTCCAGAAATTGAACTATTATATTCAGTTCATATAATTTTAAATATAATTACATAAATAATAAATGTTTTTAGTATGATAGTTTGGAACATAAATGTTGAGTTCGGGGTATCGTTTTCAATGTGCAGAAAAGAGACAATATCTAACTTTACTCTTAATACTTGTTAAACAAGAAAAAATGGTTTTTGAGAGTCCTTTAGAGCCCTTAGATTTCTGGTCCTTAATGTTGGTTAAAATCAGCAGAAGATCGTAATTTTAATCATCTGAAATTTCTGTTTTAATGACTGTCATTTTGAGTGTGAATTAGCATTTTGGAGGAATATTTTTGATGATTCACTGATGTATATGGTTATTTTTTGAATGGTTTCATGGGTTATAATTTGTTTCCATTTCTAATATAAATGATGGGATACTTGAGTTTCTATGCAGGAAGTGAAACATAAGCATTTCAAAATTCATTTTTTCTAACAAAGAGCTCTTAAACAATTTTCACTTTTGGGGACGTGAATTTTTTTACTAAACGGTTCTAAATTTGGCGACTTATCAACATTTTGGCGATTGTAAGATCATTTTCTATAGAAAATTTTAATTCCGAAATCTGAGAATTTTCCGACGATTTTTTTAAAACATCATAACTTTGATAGATTTTATGTATAATATATTGGAATTATATTTAAAAAATAACATTAAAATAAAACATTTTTGTTTTTCACTGTCATATTATAAAGTTTCATTTTGGCAACTTACTATACAATATTTTGTATATGAAAAATAAACTGTATCTGAAAAAAAAAAAAAAAAAAAAAAAATAGGTATAATGGCTATAAAGCATAATTTACGAAACATCTCTTAGCAAAAACAAAATTAACTATGTAATTAATTAAAAATATCTTGTTACTATAAATATCTTGTTTATACCAAGAGATTTTGACATCAGCATTTCTCTGTGAATAAAACAGTGTGTGGTAACAGCATTGCCACTTTTACAACTGTAGCCTTTTATGAAACCAACAATGGAAACAACAACATTTGTACAAATGCCAATACAATTGTTCCAATGCAGATCTTCTTTTGTTTGTCTCAAGCAATTCTTCACATTTGAGGAAGTTTTCTTGAATTTCGCTCCCGTTAGTATGTCTTACGAAAGCTAGAACAGGGTTCTTACAGTCCTTAAGTTCTTAGATTTTTTGTCCTTAATGTTGGCCAAAATCAGCAGAAGATCTTTAATTTTAATTGTCTGCAATTTCTGTCTGTTTTAACGACTGTCATTGAGTGTGAATTAGCATTTTGGAGAAATATTTTTCACAATTCACTGACATATATGCTTATCTTTTGAATGGGTTCATGGTTTATAATTTGTTTCTATTTCTAATATAAATGGTGGGATACTCGAGTTTCTGGGCAAGAAGTGAAACATAAGCAAATCGAAAATATTTGATTTTTTCTAATGACAAGCTCTTAAACAACTTTTCACTTTTAGGGATGTGAATTCTTTTATTCAACAGTTCTAAATTTGATGACTTATCAACATTTTTGTGATTTTAAGATCAGTTCCTATAGAAAATTTTTAACTAGGAGATCTGAGAAATTTTTGACGATTTTTTTTTAAAACATCATAACATTGATAAATTTCATTAAAATAATGGTAATATATTGAAATTATATTTAAAAAATAACATTAAAATAAAACATTTTTATTTTTCGCTGTCATATCATAAAGTTTCATTTTGGCAAATTATATACAATATTTTGAATCTGAAAAATAAACAAGATATAATGCTATAAAGCACAATTTACAAAAGAGCTCTTAGCAAATGCAAAATTAGCTATGTAATTATTTAAAAATGTCTTTTTTTTTAATTTTTTCATAGTAAGACTTTTTTCCATTTGATTGTCTCACAATATTCAAAATTCTCAGAATATGCATCAGTTTTCTCTATAAAATTCATTTTACGCTTTTTCCCTCCTTTTTTGCTCCAAAATTTTTTCTGGCTTTTCGCTGTTACAGAATTGGTAGGGATAATTTTTCTTTAGTATTTTAGACACTGCAGCTTGGAAAGTTTAGAAAGATTTGAAGGCAGGATTTATAGACCAACAATTCTAGAAGATTCCAGAAATATGTGAAAGAAATGAAAAATGTCTCTGTATTAACATGTAATTGATGTATTTTACAGAATGTTTGCGATGAATTTCTTACTTTTTTGGAGAAAGAAGTCTGGAAGAACAATGAAAACATAATATTTGAATGTTTTACTTCTGATACTAGAATCTTTTTCTTAACATGTTTATCTTCCTTTTATTTCCTCTACTTTTCACTAGACGCAAGCATGGAAAATATTAAAATTGCTTCTAATCTTATCACATGGACAGGCATTATAGAAAGGAATTTTTTGATTAATAAATAAATTGAAAACTGGCAACTTAGAAGATTCATCTAATATGTTTTAATGCATCATACACAGGTCTGATGCTAGACATTTTCCTACTTGGTGCAATCATGTGGAATATTAAACTTATCTCTGTAAATCCTAAATTCTGCTTCCAATGCCTGCTTGAAATCCTAAAAGTTATGACATTTCTAGATTTTGTTGCTCAGTGTGTCACTAAATTCTGAAAATTCAGCCACACCAGCTCTATAACCAGGCCTTACTATATATATATTTCATATTTCTTCTGAATTTTGGTATTGCTAATGAAGTAAAATTAGCAGCTTTTTCTATACGTTTTAAATGCCTTTAGATTTCTTAGAATAACAGAAATCCTTAATTAAATTTTAAAATTCTAAAATGAAAAGGAAACATGTTGAAGCAAAAAATGGAATACATAAAGAAAATTATTCTTCAAAGATATGTACAATTATTATTATGTTACTTACCTAGTTGTTTGTGATTTGATTTCAGCCGT